TACATTGCAAAAAAGTACTTCAGGCAGTCACCGGTATTCAGATTCCACACTGTGCAGACTTGCTCCAAACAGGTCTGGGCAATAGTTGGATGTGTTTATCCCTGCCAACATCTCGAGCCTACACCTGGTTCTCACAGGAGACCATCTCCAGCAGAAGTGAACAGATGGAAAGCTACAGAGCAAGAAGTTCAGCAAAACTGCTGCCCAATCTTGCCCATGATGAAAAGCTGAGGGATGTTTAGAATAATTTTTTAACAGACATTTAAGTGGGCATTTGGAAGCCATATTCAGGCATCATGCAGCTCAAAACGTTGGAAAATGGACCATGCTAAAGTCCACGTAAGCTAGAACTTTTTGAAGTTCAGCTGAAGCTGAACATCTTTGAAGACAATTTTGCAAAGAAGTAGGAAAGCATTAGACTCCAACTGTTTGGATCCCACCAACTTTATTCTTGTAAGCCCTGTTCACAGAAGGCTGCAGCTCACCTTCCAGCACTCGGCAAACTGCCAACTGTGACAAGCAAAAAACCTTAAAACCATCAAGAATCCGATGTCTGTTGGCTCTCAAGTCCTGTTATTTACAGGACTTGGGGATCCTTCTGGCCAGGCCACCCAAAGAGGTACCAGGTCCTGGAGAGGACAAACGTACGGTGACTTGGGATGAACTGCAGGAGCGACAAGACATAAGGAAGGAGCACAGTCAGGGCAAATTCTACACACATAAGACCTTCACAGCAGAGTCCAGCCTCTAACAAGATAAGAGCATGAAGCCTAAAGACAGACGACTACTTCTCAGGACCCCAGCTGGCTCAGCAATTTGCAGTCCTTTCCAATCACTCGCTTCAACATGCCAGTCACATGTTTTACAGAAACCTAGATTTCTATCTTGCTGACAACATTATTGGACGTTATTCTGGCAGGTAACCAAACCAAGACTGATTCTTGTCAGCTCAGCCAAGCTAGATTTTATCCTCCAAGATCCCAAAGATCCACATCCTGCAGCAAAGCCTTCCCTTCCTCCTGGGGCTGCTATCAGGCTGAAGTGTCTTTACTTCTTCTGTAGTAACAGAGTACAAAGATGAGCAGTGAACAGAGGTCACCAACAGCGCTCTGCATCCTCTCCCCGACTCCCCGTTCAGAATAAAGGTCAGTAGGTCTCCCTCCGCTCCTGCGCACGTATCCTGTCCTCACCGTCAGAGCTGACAGCTCAGCCAGCCTCTTCCAGCAGCTGCCCCGCGCTCCGCTTGAAACCCAGCACATCCGTTCCAAGCTGCAAATGTTCACTTAGTTTTCAAACTGAAGTCACACCCCCACCGCTTTATCTGAACTAACCGTGATATCGCCTGGAGAGGTCTCAAAACAGCCACGGAGTAGATGAACAGTCCTGAAGGGCATCTCAACATCTCTAGGAGGACAAGAGCACAAACTCCCTGCCCACACGGGCAGCCCGGTCCCTGGGACGACCACGGCTTGGGCTCTGCCCTCCACCTGCAGATCTTGACCGTGTCCCGTCGTACACAACCCCATGTTCACCTTCTCAGCCCTGGGTGAACTGTCCCACTGCAGCAGCTCTAGTTGCGCAAGAGAGCTGGGAACCCATTTTTTATTCTGACACAGGAACAGCATTTCTCTCTCTCTCCCCCTCATCAGCTCAAGATCCAGCTCCAACCCCAAAACAAACAGATGCTTCACATATTTGAAGTGTCTGGAAGGAGCAATAAAGCTATTTTTCCTGAAAGGCCTTGAACACCAGTCCCTCAGGCCACAGCAAAGCCACAAGTCCTGCAGCCGCCGTCAGCAGCCGTGCAGCCAAGAGCAAGGGGCTGGACCTCCCTCCATGCAGACCAGAGCAGCGCTGGGACCCACTCCCACACTGTCCCAGCCACCCTCCCACTCCAAAAAGCCACAGAAGACGTGGATCGAGTCAACTCCATTTTGCTGGCATCTCTATCATAGTCAGGCAATCAGTGGCCAGACAAGGGGACAGAAAAGGGAGGACAAATTTCCGCATTTGAAGAAAAACACAATTTGCATCTCACAGAACAATCAGTCTAACTGCCACGACCGCCTCTCTCCCTCCTAATAAATCATTAGCTCTGAACGTAAGCACAGACACCTGCTGATCTGCAGGAACGCAGCATTTCCAGGCTGTGCTAGACCTGTTGTTTCTCTCCCCCAGATTCCTGCTAAAAAAAGGGCATCAGCGATGAAGTTTTCTAAGTCATCGAAGTTTCACTAAACACCACTTTCTTGAGCCTGGAGCATACTTAAAGACCTTTCAGCAAATCCAAGGCAAGGTTTGGAAAGGAAGATGCTCAGCAGGAGGTGGGCTCATCCAGCAGGTCTGCTTGGAGAGAATCATCCCAAAAGACCCAGGTAGCTGCTCCCTGAAACCAGCATCAGGTTTAATTTTGATACCCCCGAAAGAGAAAGGGAGATTGGTTTTACCAAAGAACTGCAGCTTCCAGCTCACAGGAAACGTCTGCTTCTGGCCAAAATCAAGTTTCTGAAAACCCTGACATATCTACAAATCAGAACCCTTGGTTTTGGCCGGTTGCCGTGGTGACACACAGCGATCTCTTGGGAAGAAACCAAGGAATGCGTCCTAATACTAGCTTCTTCCTTTTCAGGCATCAACATTCAGCCTTATTACCCAGAGTAAAAGCCACAAACATCCTCTAGGTTAAGAGTAAACAGAAATCTTTCCATTTGCTACAGCACCAGCATCTTCTAAACCCTGGCTACAAAGTCAGTCTCCATGCTAGCCACCCCTAGCAGGAAGGGAACTGAAAGAAAACCTGCTGTTTCTCCCATTACATTGCCACATTTAATTGTACCCAGAAACTTGTGTCTCTACTACTTCTCCTTAAGCTGGATTTTATTTTCTGAAGGGTCCCCATTTGTTTCAGCCTCCTGAGCTCTGCAATGTAACAGGCAGCTCCTCCTTTGCCTTTTAATCTCTCTCTTCTCAGAAACTAGATCTTTATGCAAGTTCTCATGCAGGACATTCCCCACATAGAATTCTTAGCAAACGCCACTACAGATGTATGTGAATCTTGCAGTATTTAGCATACTTCATCTTCAGAGTGCCTGCAGAGTGGGATAGATAATGCTATTAAGCTGATAAGGACAGAAGCGGAGAAGCTACATGACCTGCCCAATGTCACACAAATCCAACACTGAACAGACAAAACAGTTGTCAACCAATTTCAAAGAATCATACGGTATTTTAGGTTGGGAAAGGACCTCTGGAGGTCTTTAGCCCAGACTCCTGCTCCAAGCAGGTCTGACCTGATCCGTTGCTCAAGGTTCTTCCCAGGCAAGTTTCAAATACCAGGATGGAGATGCCACCACTTCTCTGGGTTCCTGTTCCAGCGTTTGACCAACCTTTAAACAATTCAGTCGCTGCACTAGCCTTGATCTCATCTCCCTTCCTCCTTTTTGTACTGTTTAAGGACAGCTTCCGTCATGTACCACTTAATTGTTTTTGCTTACTTGAGGCTTTATTCTTTTACCAGCAAGGCTGCTGCCCCAACAGCACCGCCCTGCACAGCAAAATCAGCTCCACCGGCTGCATCAGAAGCCGGGCTTACCTAAGAAAGTCTGTCCCACAAGGTTTCGTGTGTATTTTCTGCTCCATCCTAAGATTACCCATAGCAGTAACATGTCTTCTTGATATTTTTGCCATTTATACCACACAGCTGATTTGGTGTAAATCCAATTAATACCCCAAACTGCACAGAGCCAAAAAAACAGCTGGAATGAGTGCCATCCAGCAGATATTTAAACAGCAGAACAAATCCAGTCTGATTAAGCATTTCCTTGTAGGAGGACAAGAAAAAAAAAAAATACAGGAGCACTGAGTGACAATCAACACTCCTGTTTATTTGCTTATTCTGGATCTCCTGGCGCTCATGCTCCAGATCTGCTACCTGCATTAGTCATGATCAAATTAACACAGACTGCGTGCTCTTATGAAGGAATCTAACAATGTTAAGCCACGAGAAACAGCACTCCCTGCCTCCCTTCTAGATGAGATGCACCCTATTCAAAGGATTTCCTCAAATTATAATGCTCAGTGCCTCAGGCACCCATGTGGATTCAGTCCATCAAATATTTAGTCCAATTTAGGTAACGGAACGTCAAACAACTTTTCCCGCTATGGAAAAACATGTCACGTCGCAGACCTAGAAATCGGGATTTGTCACCTCAGCGTGCTGCTTTCAGAGCCGAACAATTCACGCCTACTCCTCCGGCACAGCAAAATAACTCGCTCTTTCAGCATGACTGTGTCTTTATCACACCCAGATGCGTTTCATCACGCCATACAAAGATTAATTCTCAATTTAAGGCTCACAAGGATCTAAGTTAGATCCCAAGCAGTGAGAAAACCTGGCATTCGCTCCAAAGACACTTGGAGCAATCGATATCTCGCGGATCTTCAGAGATGTAGCTGCACATCCAGAATGAGCAGCCAGGTGGTATAATCCTATCAAGGGGAGTTAAATTGTTGCTGATCTCTTTCTGCCTAATAGAGACCTAATTCTTGAGCCTCTATCAATAGATCGCTAATGCGGGGAAGATGCCAACTCCACCCTGTACTGTGTCACAAGCCGGGCAGTGACCATGGGGAGCTCAACATGTCCAACACCCGCCAGACACAGCGAGCAGAGCTAGAGAGGGGGCAAGTCCACAGCCGTTCAAACCACGCGACCCGCCTTGATTTTCTAAATACCTGAAATATTTTACTTTCCGTTATCATACCTCCAAGAAGTGACTGTGGGAGAGGCCCTGCAGTTATGACAGGTCATATCCCATCCTCATCTCCTTGGTAGAACAACACCCAATGCCCCCTCCCTGAGGGCAAGCCTCTGGCTCTCAAAAGGACCAGAAAAACACTGCCCATCTTCCCACCCAGTGCCTCATGGAAAGACAAGCCAAAAGTAGTACCAAGCTACTTTCAGCCTGGCTGTTCAGCGCAGAGGCACCCCAGGCAGTTACCTTCTTTCGGCGGGAGCCCGTCTTGCTCATGCAGGACCTCTCCAGGGACAGGTACCCCCCGATCACTTCGATCTCGTTCACCGTGGGGTAGCGCTTTTTATGGGACATCCCCGCTTGGGGCCCATCAGCGTTCTCCACAGCTTTGCCTTTTCCTTTGCTCTCCTCCTCCTCCTCCTCCTCTTCCTCCGGCTGCAGCCTTCCGCTGGCATCACTGAGAGTCTGCAGCCCCGAGGCAACGGGCTTCCTTTTGGGCACGACAGTGAAGGTGCTGCCTCCCCTCTGGGGGGGAGCAGAGTGTGGTCTGTAGAGGGGCACGGAGGAAAACTCCATCTCCAGATCAGGGCCAGCTCCTCCAGGCTGATTCACCAAGCTTCCCGTCCTCGCAGCCGAGACGGCCCTGGGAGAAAGCTCCCCGCTGTCCGGGTAAGTCACAGGTACCAACGGATCCAGAGGCACCAGTGGGGAAGCAACAGGCTCTTCCCGCTCTGGGGCAGAATCCCTCGGGGGCTCCTTTGGTGCCTTCTCTGAGGGCGGTGTCCACAATGTCATCGATGTAAGTCACAGGTACCAACGGATCCAGAGGCACCAGTGGGGAAGCAACAGGCTCTTCCCGCTCTGGGGCAGAATCCCTCGGGGGCTCCTTTGGTGCCTTCTCTGAGGGCGGTGGCAGTGGCCCCGGCCTGGCGCTCTGGGCTGGGGGCAGAGCCGGGCCACCCTCCCGGCGGGGCACAAAGAGGAAGGAATTGCGCGAATTCAGGCGCAGCTTGGCCAGGGCCTGGGCCTGCAGGTCGTGGGCTGGGATGGCGGCCAAGTCGGGCTTGGGGGCCGGGTGG